AAGCTTCTAGATGATTGCAGCCACTTGAAATAACTCGCTTAGATACATATTTTCTGCGTGAATATCATGAAGAATAACCTGCAATTCTTGCACTTGACTGATGACCGTCATTGAATCTACCATTTTGTAGTCTAAAAACTTTCTATAATGATCTTTTGCATTCCAGCTTTTTCAGTCTTATATTTCTTTTCCAAAGACTCCCATAGTTCATTTGCAGATTTCTTGGAACTGTATACGTTATATAACGAGTTGTCCAAACCATTCAGAATATAATTCTTGCACATGAAATCTGAATGTTTCCAAGCATCCAAAGCAATTAGTGATGCTCTATTGTTTTCCCCTTCTTATAAGGCGGGAACGTCTTCATTTAAGAACTTTGCCAAGTTGATGATCGTGAAATAGAACAATATTTTCTGTTGCCATCTCTTGAAATCAGCCACATTGAATTTTTCTGATTTCTCTCCATGTGGAAGGGAGTTTAGAGGGGTCGTAACAACCTGGGGGATTATACCAGTATGAACAATTCCTTCTAAAGTTCCTATATTCGAATTGTCATTCGAACTAGAGTCGGTATTAAAAATCGAATTCATTTCTGTTTACGCAAAACAGAAGATCAACCAATTCAAAAGAAGAATAGAAGAAGTTAAACCAAATAATAGTTTAACCGAAGCAAAAGGGTTAGTCCAACAACCACAAGATTTGACTTAAGATTGTTGGGTGGATATGGTGTATGGAGTGACAAACAAACGACCGTAGAATCTTTATTAAACTTTTTCTGGAATTTCGGCAGAGTAACGGCAATGAAACTTCAAATGAATAATGCCAAATGGATGCGAAGTCGAGGAAAGTGTTGAACACTCTGCCCTTAAGTCGAATTTGCCACGCAACGGTACCTATGGTTTATGGCAATCAACTCCCAACATACAACGACTTTTTCTTGTGTGAATAGCACTTCAACACCTCAAGAACAATGAACCAGAATTTGGTTTATATACTCTTTAATGCAAAAATGAAAAAAATAAGAATTTTATGCAATATAGATGCATAATTGGTTGAGAGAGAGAAGAGAATGTTATGCTAGAATAATTCCAGACTTTGCACAAAAAAACCAATTCCAACAATTTTGAAACTATCACGGGTGTTAAAACTCTTTCAGCGATTATAAATTACTTTTAGAAACTTATCATTTTATTACCAATATATTTTCCCTCAGTAATATTTAATTTTATTTCTATTGTTTTATTACAAACATATTTTTTGTTGGTAAATTTGCGTCTCGAAGTATCGGATAGTGAAGTTTTTGCATGCTAACATTAAAAACTCAAATTTACTCTTAATTTTGTTCTCAACAATAAATGGTTAAATGCGAATTACTTGATTATACCGTCAACTATAAGAATTTTAGAAAATTTTGAAAAATCTAAATGGTTCAAAATAAATATCATGAGTAGAAGGATTTGCAATAATTTTTACTAATCAAATTTTAAGAGTTTGTTGAAAAAAAAATTCTAAATGCACTTCAGAAAAATTAAACGGAAAAATTTTCCGATCCCAAAACTGAATATCAGAACGACGAATTGATTAATTACTCACACCAACTTATCAATAACAAAAAATAAATAAAAAAATTCGCCAAATCCTGGATCGAAATCAAGAAACACAAGGTTGATTCAACAACTGCATTACCAGTAATTATAAAACTTGTAGTCTGTTGGAATATTCTCCAGCCCAAATCAGCCCAACAGCAACACCATCAGCCCAACACCAGTTCAACAGCAACTCACGTTCTTCAGCAAACCAGTAGCTCCAGTTTCTTCTTCCTGAATCTAGCATATTCTAGCTCCTTCTCAAGTTTGTTATATTGTTTGTTTGTTAGATAATTGGTTAGCTAAGTAATTTCCCTAAGCAAGTATGAATGAAATGTTCAACTTCTTCCCTACTGTAATTCAGCAGGTCCATATCCCGGTTTCCCTCTGTTTTTCTTCTGTCATTTCCTTCCTTTATTTCTGTCTGTTACTTACAGCTTCCAATCTCGTTTATTTGCTTGATTTTCTCATGGTTTCAGAGCTTCAATCCTTGATTTTATCATAGTCAAGTAGATTATTCATTAATTGAACAAATGTTCACCCATATATATCTTGGATCATGCTACAAATATATAATCATTTACATAATATATTACATAATTGATATGTGGCGCGTATCCATCGGTAGTCTACAATTTTTGACTTTCCACACTTCACATCCACGGCCGGATTTCTTCCACATAGGTTTATGTAATTCATTATGTACAATAATTATGTACATATAGATTTATCCATATATCTTTGACTCGAACTTTATATTGACATTAGATAAACAAGAGGGATTGGGGATGAAGGGCAAACAATAATATAATGGAACAAAAACTGGTCAAAAAAATAGGTCAAAGAGGACACTAAAATTCCTAATGGGACAAATACAAGAAGAAATGCTCATCAAATTTTCCAAGACCCTTCTAGATAAATGAAATGCTAATACAAATAATTAAATATAGCAAATTAATGACCAGCAAAAGAAATTTCATCGATGATCGTCAATGGTATTATTGTCGGTAATTTTAAGGAATATCGATCGTTTGTATTAGAAAAACTGTTGATATCACTGATGATTCCTTCTTTGACTTTTAACTTTTTAGCCTATGTTTGATGGCCATTATAAAGAGAAGTTGTGGAAAATAATATTTTAAATAATGATTTTTTGGAGTATATGTAGTTAAAAAGTAGGAAAAATTTTGGATTTAAATGTAAAATATTCTATTGTATGAATATGTGACTGAAAATGAGAATGAAAAATAAAAAGTTGTGTTTTAACAGGAGCTTAATAAATTATGGTCTGTTTGATTGTGAAAGTGAAATTTGGATGGAAAGAAAATGAATTATAGGGAATTGAATTGCCTAAAATTTGTTTTATTGAGAATTGTAATGATTAGTGTAATTTTCCACCTAGAAAATGTTGAAAGTTTGGTGTTCGTTTGGCTTTGTTTTTTATGAAAACTGTCCATTAAAAGTGATAATTTTTTTTACCATTGGGTCTTGAATTTGTTCCAATTGTCAAAAAAATAAAAAATTAGAAACAAAAATTACCATACCGAATACCATTCATTTGACTTTATTTTGTATGGAAATTATCAATAAAAGTGACAAATTTTTTTACTATTGTGTCTAAAATTTTTCCCAATTGCCAAAAAAAAAAGAGCTGGAAAATCAAAAACCACCAAAACAAAAGGAAAACAAAGTCATTGATTGCAAGGAAAAGTGACGCGTGAGTGTAATTGCTGGAAAACGAATTCCAGGTAAAATTTTTGCAATCAAACAAATAAAAAGTAGGAAAATAGAAGATATTTTCCATTTTTCATGGAAAATTTGTAGTATCAAACATGGCCTTAGGGTCCGTTTGATTGCAAGGGCGAAAAATGGGTAGAAAGAAAATGTTTTACAGGGAATTGATTTTCTTAGAAAATGTTTTACTAAGAATTGTAATTAATTGTGTTTGATTTGTATAATTTTTCATGGAAAATGTTGAAAATTTGGTGTCCATTTGATTTCGTTTTTTATGAAATTTGTCCATTAAAATGATAATTTTTTCTACTATTGAGTCTAAATTTGTTCTCATTGTCAAAAAAAAAATTTGCTATACCGATTATCATTCGTTTGACTTTATTTTGCATGAAAGTTGTCGATAAAAGTGATTTTTTTTTTTTTACCAATGTGTCTAGAATTTGTTCTCATTGCAAAAAAAACAAAAAAACAAAAAAAAAAGGTGGAAAATGTTTTCCCACCTATTAGGTGAAAAAATATTTTCCACAATTTGTGCATCAAAGGGTTTTACCTAGAAAAAGGAAGGAAAACATTTTCCGTGGAAAATTTCGCATATCAAACAGTTAAAAAAGTGAACCCTGGAAAACTCCGTCAATCAAACGGAGCCTTAGTGAGATATAGTTTGTCTATCAGTAACTTTAGATATCTTTTTTTATTTGTAAGCTTACTAACAGAAAAACTATTTTTCACTTTTATTTTATTTATGATGGAATATTTCTTAGTTAATATATAAATTTTATATTTTTATTACTTTAATTACAAACAAATGTTGTTGGTAAACAAATTTGTCGATAAATAATCTCTCTATTTCGTTGTTCTCTCGTTCGCTTTTCAAAGTTGAATATAAGAGGCAAGTGTTACTTGTATAAACTAATTTAATATAGTCAAAAACCATATACTCGACTTTTATAGTTTTAGTCAACTATGAGAAGTTAGTCAACAAATTATTTTTGACATATCGTGTAATTAGATAATTGAAAATATATTTTGATATATCTAAATAATTTTCTTAAAAACTAAAAAATAACATTATTTTTAAATTCTATAATGATTATTGCTGTCTGCATGCAAGAATCACGTGACTAATTGGCTGGATTTATTTGTCGACAATCCCAAAACAAATTTTAAAAAAAAAAAACAAATATTTCTACATTGTTTTCTATATTAAGCGTCCGTTTGATAGGCAAATGTGGAAAGAAATTTCAATTCTATATTAGTTGGAAAATAAAAACTCACCAAACTCATAGGAATTCGTTTTCAATGAAAATAAAGAAAATGCAGCTTAAAGTGATTGTACTTTGGAATTCGATTTCCATTTTCACATAGCAATCAAACGGTTAAAGTGACATTCGTTTCCCTCGAATGTGACATTTTTCATGGAAAAATTTTCAATCAAACAGGCCTCAAAGAAATGCCCATTGAAAAAAGGGTAATATTCTAGTATATTTTTCAAATTTTCATATAGCCGCCGCCCCTCAAAAACTGTGCTGGAATTCTTATTACACTTATAAAATACATCAACTTGTGTCATCAACAGCAAAAAACAATTCATAAAGCACCTGAATATGCTTATTTCACAAGATTTATTTTTCTAAAGCACATGAATGATCTGAAGTACAAAACATGCATGGCTAATGCTTAATGACTTCTTCTTCTCCAACTAGTTTTTGTTCTGCAACTTTTCCATATGAGAAGCCTCGGTTTCGTCGGTTCCTTCAAGTGAGATCTCAAGGCTACGGAGAAGAAGGTAAAATTAACCTACCCCTCGTTTGACAACACCAATCTTGATATCTTATGGCTCGTTTGAGTATTATGGACGACTTGTGAAGAGAAGTAGCTCAAATCCTTATATTTATGTTTGATATGGGATTTACTAATAACTCTGATTCTTCTTCTTGGTCGTCTTAAAATCAATGTTTAGTTGTTTCTTTCTGTTCTTTTCGTTTGACAGGGAAATCAAGCGATGTTGTCGACGGGAATTTGTGCATTCTGAGGGAAAGGATACAAGAAATTAGAGTAAAAGAAAGACTCGAAAATTGCTGTGTAGCTAAGCAAGGATGGAATTATGCACACGCCTACAATTATAAACACAAAAGAGATGCACAGTTTCTTCTGTTTCTCCAACTTATTGGCATAGTTTCTGGGACTTTTAGCCTCGTACTTGTGTGTGGTACCCTTTGCCTCTGCTTATTTTCCCTTTTAATTCATGTCAATTAAGAACTACTGATCTATAGAAATAAATATCTTTGTTTAGAATCAGCAGAAGCTCCATTTCTATCTGCTTAATTATATTCATAGAAATCGGGATTTAGTTTTTCAGAGAGTAAACGATGTGCGTGTATTGAACACGTGTATAGTTCACACGAGTTTATCCAAATTTTCTCCAAAGAAAGGGCCAAAACCATTAGGTGGTTAGTTTCGATCATTTACGTCATTTTTAATTTTGTATGTTCCGTGTAATACTACACTTCGTGCAGTCACAATGCCAATTGTATATTTTATCCTATATTTTTAGTCTTTGTATCAATTATGCTGGGCAAGTTAATTAGTTTTATATAAGATTGACATTGATGGTCCAATTAATATATATAAAGGTCATTTGACAGTACTTTTGCTTTATGTAGAAGTGACTATCAAATTCAAGGCGGGTCGAGTTGATGATCGACTCTTCGGGCCTGTTTGGCAATGCTTTTCAAAAGTCGAAACTTACTTCAGAGATTAAGAAGTAGCTTTTGAATCTAGCCAGATGAGTATTCAGAGAAAGCTTGCCAAAAGAGCCCGAAGAATAAACCAACTCTGGGATATTATCCTTTATCACGGTCAGCCTTGAATTTGAATACAATTTATCATACATAAAACTCAATTACGGGGATAAAAGAGGACTTACAAAAAGACCATTAACGGTTGGATATTTGAGCTAAATTTTTGAGCAACCTTTCTTCATAAAGCAATCTAATTTTGGCACTGCAATCTTTTATCTGTACAACGCCAAAGCAGGCTGATCGAGCTTCTTGTTTTGTAAACTCAATGAGTTGGAACTCTCGACACATGAACATGAGTCGCATGAAATTTGGTGAGCATGCACGTGTGTGTAAACATCAACTAATAACTACATACCTAACAAATTTGGCAACTTCAGTTAGGCATGTGATCAAGGTGTCTTTTTTTTTTTTTACAACCGTGGATGTTCGGGCCAAATTGTGCGGACCTCGACTAATCCCACGAGGCCCTGAAATTTACGGTCGAGTACTTACCTCAGTGGTCCTGAGGGGACTCGAACTGGTGACCATTGGAAATCAAACTCAAGGCCCGACCAAACATGCGATCAAGGTTCTCATAATACAAAGTACAAATGCTAGCTAATAGATTGTCATTACCATTTAAAAATCAACCTTAAAATGTCATAAGAAAAATGATATAACCCAAGGTAATCAAAACACAGCTCTGCATTCGGATCATGTTCAAAAGATTGCTCAAACCACTGAACAAATACAGTAGGAAAGGCTTAAACCACGTTCCTGATACTGAGGATTGATAAACCCACAACTAAACAGTCTTAAATGCTTAATAAAACCACCAGAAACCTATATCAACAGTATCTGCGGACCAAAGGGTAGGGATGGGAACATTAATTTGCTAGAATTGATGAATTGCCAAAAACAAGAGTAAATTCACATTACAGAAGGAGATAAGGGGGCAAATTGTACCACGATTATGAACATATGATGTAAACAAGAAACTAGGAAGGCATTCCCAAAATCAAAGTGCTCGAAAACTGTCTTCTTTGTCAAGTCTAGAAATCCCTGAGCTTGACGATTCTCCCATTACAACAGGAGCAGCAACTTGGGATGATTCCCTTTTTAAAGAAGTTGGCAACCCTGATATTTCCTAATAGTATTGCACAAAGAAATTCATAGAGATCAGTTGCAAATATATTCTGTCCTATCTTCTCTCTCTTCCTTTTTAATTAATTTAGTTATTATTCTTTGAGGGTGGGGGTGAGCGGTTTGCACCAACATTCACAGTTACAGTTACGGTAATCATCTACAAGCATTCACATTTTAATTGGCAACACAAGTTCCCTGCTGACAGACACGGTACTTACTTGTATATTCAACAGGTTATGTGCAGATCAACTAGAAAAAAGATTATTCTGGATGCAGTGCATAGCTAAATTAAAACTGAAAACAATATCAAGTACCTTCATCAAATGCAACCTTAAGTCACAAGGTCGAACTCGATTACCAATACATGCCATAGCAAATATTGAATATTGATACAACACATCGGCAGCAGCTTGCTTTTTTTCTTCAATCTGCAGCATATTCAAGGTCATGAAAAAATAATATAAAAAGACAATTTTAGACCAAGATACTTAAGAACATTGGCAAGGTAACGGATGCAAACTACCCATATGTCATTATTGCTCCAAGACTTCGCTTTTACGAAGTATAACACCTCTTCTAAAATAATCTAATATTGATGACATTAAGCAAGAAATTTTCAGAAATGAAAACGTTTTCAGGTACAACGGTTACAAAGTGAAACGATTTTAACAAGATGCAAGATAAGACTTTGGCATCTTTGTAAAAACCAAAGAACTCTATAAACTACATAGACATGAAACTGGTACCATTAATCCACTGAAGCTTTTCAACATCATAGTCAGATGACCACCAAAAGAATGTACAACACATTTTGAACCCTTCACACCATCCAACCAAAACATGGGTACATATATTCGTTATTAATTTTTAGAGAGGACAGAGTAAGTATTGCAAGATGTTGAACACGGATAACTTCATTGTTTCATGAACTGAAATTTGCCGGATAGACATTATTAACTTTCAAGTGATGCAGATGTTCATGAAATTTCACTAAGTACATGTTAATGTAAAAGCAATCAGACCCATGCCTCTCCAAAAAGGCCTGTTTAAAATGCAGTACAGTATCACAGGCTTAATTGGCACTGGCAGAGAGCCTTTTGTAAGCTTATTATAGTTTCTTTCAAAATTTAATTACGCTGCAACAGAATATGTTGAATTGTCTCACAAATATGTGGGCTACCTTAGGTGTCCAACACAAGTCTTAAATCCTCTCACTTGTTCAGCGATCCAGTAATCCAGATAGCCAAAAAAATTTAGAAATAGAAGGAAATTCAGCCAATAGTTGTGCTGAATTTCGAAAGGTCTAAAATTGGCGTGTGAGTTGCTCCATGGTCCAAAATGTGCTTTTATTATATGGTCAATGCAGATCTCCTTTACTTGGTTATAAAGATATAAATTATTATGAGAATTCCCCCAGAACTCTAGTGGTAAGAGGTCCTGCTAACAGAATTCATATGATGAGGAATAAGAGTTTTAAGTTTTTGAAGCCCTTCTTAGACTTGTATTCTTATTCTGATTAGACTCAAATTATAGTTTGTTTGGATTCGGTTTCATTTGGGTCTTTTGTTAATATTTCTTCAGGTATCCAACCAGAACTAGGATTAACTTTTCCTAGTGATCTAAGCTTTCAAGTTACAATAATTTTGTAAGGTTTTATACTGAACTAAATGAATAATTGGGAAAAGCATCAACGTGCTATTTAGAATTTTGATCTATGTTCTTTTCTTTCTAAGAGGTGGAATACAATAACCCTAACCCATTTACTGATTTACATTTGTATGTATTGTCGACTCCTACTACAATTCATGTATGATGCTTACTTGATCATCAAACCAACTACCCACTATATCTCCTTTACATTCTTGACGAGATTTAACAATAGATTTAAGCAAATAAATAATCAAAAAGAAATTAATCCCTCCCTTTTCTTTTCTGACAGACCAATCATTCCCAAAAAAAAATCCTATCCCCCTCATAAAGTATATAGTCCTTTGTATCTATTTCTGTAGAAAAGATTTATAATGTTTTTCTATATTATGGAGATTCTAATGAAGGATTCATCTGAAATCTACAACAACAAAAAAAAGAGGTAAGACTTCTGAGGCTCAAGCTCTCATTTGACACAATTTGGAAAGCAATTTAGAGTTTTGAATGAATATTTAGTTTTTTCTTCAGTCCTAAATTAGGTTTTCATACAATGTATTGCTTTCTATTCCAGTTTCACAGGTTTAAATACATTTAGTCAAATAAAGGGTATTAGAGTCTTAAAATTGCATTCTATGATCAAAATTTGAGGCAGATTGTTTTAACTCTTTATATGTTCATAAGTCATATCTGGATCAAGAGGTTAGTTTTATTTAGGACTGATCACCTTTTAAACTTAAAGTAGTATCTGAGTTGAAGTAGAAATTTTTTGAGACTCTGTAATGCTAGCTAATCCTGTATGTGATGTCTAAGGGATCTAGGTGGTGATTCATATGTTCCTTACTTCCACAGTTATTCTTCTAAAATTTTCAGTGTGTTTAATTATTACCCATACCTTTAAACCAAATTGTTCGGTGCACAACATCCAAAATATTCAAATCCAGTCCATTTTCCATTTAGAAACCTGATCAAACAGGGTTTTGATTCCTTTGGGTTAAAGGAATTGTTTTGAGTAATATTTCAGAAGTACTCATCAACTCCAAGTAACCTTAACCTTACTTCCTGTTATTTTGCTAAATCAAGTCTTCTACACTTTAAATCAGGCCTTGAATCCTACTGTTTAGTTAGAGTTTTTCTTAGTATATAATGCTCTTATGGCATAGAAGTCGTTAAGAGATAGCCCAAGTAAATGGTATGGTTGGTAATAGCCTACCATCACACTCGGGGATCAGCAAAATATTCTACCTGCACTAGATGCCCAAGGATTCCAAAACTGAAAACCAATCAATTTATAAGGTCTATTATCACTCTGCACATTAGAAAATAACATGATAGCCTTCATGAAATGTTTATAAATTTACCATGTTAGTTTGTTGATGCCAAATTGAAAGCATGATCCTTTTGCTTACAATACACATTCCATTTTTATTTATGTGGCATATGTGCCAAAAGACTTGAACAATCACCGTCAATTTTAAGCAATGACCTGAATCTGCCATTCTAAAATCCAGGAAATCAACTACAGATACTAACCAACATAAATACAACGTGCTTTGACAACAAAACAAACGCAACAAAAACGAAAAATCCATATCATCAGCAAGTGAAAACTTTTTGATCTTTAGCCTTTTAGTATCTAACACTGGAAACTCTTGTAATATCAGTCCCCGCTTTTCTTTTCCTTTT